TGAAGCAAATTTTTTTTTAAAAATAGTAAATAATGATGAAATCTCTATATCTATATAGTGATATTTTTTTCCTGTTTTAAAAATATGTAAATAATAATTTCATATATCTATTCTACCGAAATTAGAATACGGAATCCACTTTTTTCACTATTTCTACGAACTGCAGAATATGTTTTCTACGGAGATAACACGAATCTAAAATAGTTTGGAATACACATTCCACGCTTATCATAGAGTTCTAAAAAGAGTAGAAATTGAAATCTAAATTCTTACTTAAATCTAAAACAAGTAGAAGTCAGAATCTAAATTCGCACAACGTTCTAATACGCGTAGAAACTGATTTCATATCTCTTTACACAGTTCTACCTTTAGTAGAATCTGAATTCTACGGATAAATATTATTAGATCCGAAAATATAGCAATAATATATTAGGAAATATTCTATTACCATATTTAAAATTCAACTTTTTTTTTTTTTTTTAAAAGAAAATTTAAAGGCAGGTTTTATTCGAAGGCACGGGATCGATCGATCTCATCTAGGGGATCGGTCGATCCATACCGATCGATCTGTACGATCGATTAGACTCTAAAGCAGTCAATACGTTTATGGTCCGCGTTTTTTCAATAAACTGCTCAGACACGAGATCGAGCGTGTGGATCGATCTTCTGATTCTGGGATCGATCGATCCCGACATATAGAGCAGTTTCTTTCAGGTTGAAGGTTTTTTGTTGATGAAAAGAAATGGAGAAAGTTACTTGCTTTGGAATTGAAGTCCTCTCTGGAAAAGTTACAGAAAGTTGTTGTAGAGGATTTTGGTTTCCAAGATAAGGATGCTGATTTGGATGTCACTACAGGGCAGGTACAAACCCATATGATTCCATGTGTGTATTTTTAAATGTGTGTTTGAGCTGTGAGCAATGACAGTGATGCAGACGGTGAAGAGTTTGATGAGGGAAGGAGGGTTTGGGGCTTGTTACAGAGGGTTAGGATCAAGGTGGGTCTCAGTGTCCATGTCTGCAGCAACTATGATCACTACCTACGAGTTCTTGAAGCGTCTGTCCACAAAGAAGCAGACATAGTCTAAGTTTCTCTCTGTTTCTTGTGTTTAAATGAAGAAACGTAATGGCAAATCTAACAAAGACACTTTTGATTGGGTTTTTAAAAATGTTTTACTCTCTAATAAACAAACATAAAACAGAGCCAAGGATTAAACCTTGAATATGAGGCTAACTAGCGCCTAAGATAACTCAAATCACATGAAGTCTTAACTTAACCAACAAATCTGATCTAACCAAACAGTTAGGCTTGTTTCATCATATGCAAAGCAAATAGACAAAGGCGGCGGCAATAAACAATGAAACTTAGGATCGAGCTCTCTTGTTGCTGCCAGATGGGCACTTGTACTGTTTGATGTGCTCAGCCCTTGCTGGTGTTATCTTCACACACTTCCCATGGAACCAGTTCTCACAGAGGTCACAGCAGATCCAGAACTCATCGGCTGCATAGCTCTCACCACATGCTCCACACTGTGTTTCCCCTTGCTCATCATCATCCTCATCCTCCTCTTCCACACCTTCCTCTTCCTCTTCATCTTTGGGCTCTGGCTTTGAGTACTTGGGTCTCGGTTCTGATCCTCTCTGTAATTTGAAAAGGGACAAAGGGGTTTAGTAAGTTGAACAAAAGAAAACAGTGCACTTAAGTGCTCATGCCATAAAATAGCAAAGCTTGTTACCTTGGAGTTTGACTTGGATATGTTGCTGCTGTTGTTGGAAACAGAGGATTTCTCCTTTGATTGCTTCTTTGCAGTGCCAGCAACAACCTCAAATATTGATGGGAGGTCATTCATCATATTGAAAAGCCGTTTCCTGCAACAACAAGGTGGAAGAACATCAATCACAGAGAGCTGAAACTGAGAACGAGTAGAACACTTGACAAGAATGAATGGTGAATAAAACGGAAATACATATAGCACACAAGAGCATAAGACTAAAACTGTAGTGCGAGAAGAAGACACATACCTATCAGCTTTGTCTAATCCAAACCTGGCTCCAATAATCATCAGCTTGGAACCTCGTTATCAGATTCAGTATGGCCTCCAAATTCTTCATCATCTTCACCTTCTTCATCATCCTCTCCTGGGAGAGAAGAGAAGAGATCCCTTATATGGTCAGCAGTGTTGTTTCTGTAGTAACCTTGGGCCACGTTAGTACTTGGCTCATGTGAAAAGGACACATGTTGTGGTGCGGACACGGGTGGTGGCTGAGTCACAACAGGCTTGTTGAGACCGTATCTAGCCTTTGGATCTTCAGCTGAGCCACCACCGAATGAGATGTTAGAAGCTTGTGTTGTTATGGGGATCCCAAGTCTTTATCTTCTTTGCTTCTTCATCTGTTGCTGCTGCTGTGATTCACCCTGACCCCCCGCAACAAAAGTCCCAACCATTACCTGAGAAAAAACAGATAAAAATGCTTTTAAAACAAGAAAAAGATAAACTAGAGTCCATTACAAGGATCAAGAGTTACCTGAACAGGACCAGCGGCTATAAAGAGACCAGCGAGACCACCACCAAAGACACGACCATCAGATCCTGCAAGAGACACACATGAGGAGTAAAACTTGCACTAACAACATCTGCACTTCTTACAGCTGCAAAATTAGTAACCAGCAAACAAATAAAGAATAACAATTAGAGTATAAAATTGAATCTTGTTGACCACGACAGGTTCAAGCTTCTTCTGAGACAAAAAAAAAAGAGTTTAAAGTACAGACAAGAGAAAAAAAAAGAGATCCATGGAACTTAAGATTCAGAAGAGCAAAACAAAGAGAGGAGAGAGATGAAGTTGAAATTAAGTGAAGAGAAAGATCAGAGCTTCCATGGCCGAACCTTAATTTCACTTGAATTTTCTTCTAAAACATTCTTAATTACCTGCACAAAAGAAATTGGAATTTTCTTTTGTCTCAACGCCCTACACATTCAACAATGGTAAACATTTCAAGTTGAATGTGGTTTGTTACCTGCGGATTTTGTTACCCTGGCCGACCTGATACATTCCCCAGGCAAAGGCACCAGAAACTGTAAGGAAAATAGCCATGGCGCTTGGACCTGTATTGGATATCCGACGAGCATATCGAACCAGTGCGAATCCACCCGATGGTGGACTAGACATGGCGCTTGGACCTGTAGTGGCGGAGGAGCTGTCGGGAACCGGAGAGAAAGGGAGAGTGGCTGAGACGGACGTCTGTAATTAGGTTTAGAAAGGGACCAACTTTTTTTTTAATCCTTTTAAAATTATATTATATTTAATTATTAAAAAATAATTTATTATAATTATAATTAACCTAATTATGAATTAATAATTAAAACAATATAATTTAAGGATAGTATTGCCATTTAGAAAATATTTAGTCTAATGGGATAATAAGTGAATGAATTTAACCTAATGGGACAATGTCCAAACCTATTTGGCTTAAAAAAACTATTTTCTCTATTTTCTTTAAGTATATTTTGGACAAAACTTTAACACTGTTATTGAGCAACCCTTCATGGCTCATTAAACGACAGTGAGGAGAAAATGTTTCCCCAGTAGGCTTTGCATCTTATTAGCAATATTTCTATTCGGTTAAGTAGTTTTGGACCAGTTAATGATCCCCACGTGACATGTGAGAGTTGGAAACCAAAGAAATAGAGTGATGTTAATCAGCCGATGTACTATGATTTAATAACAAGAAATCCTAGTTGATGTATTGAGGAACTAAAACATTAAACGAAGAAAAAACATGTTCATTAAAAAACAAAAAACTAAATGATGACAAGCTTGTCTACTTGTGGACTTAAATGAAGTGATGACAAACATGTTCATTAAAAAAACAAAAAACAAAAAACAAAAAACATTAAACGTATATACATTTTTGTTCACTCTCTGACAAGCTTGTCTACTTGTGGTGTTCGTTCGTACGTATATACATTTTTAAAAATCTAACAAGTTACGGCAAAAAGTAATGGCGGATGAATTAAAGAGCCGATAATATAGAAGAATTGCAGAAGTGCAATATGTAAAGCCAACCACCAAAGATCAGCGCATGTTTGTCTCTTTAATTACAATTTACAAATTTATTTTAGTATAAAACTTACATACATTCCCCATATTTAACTCAGACAATAAGATAGATATCTAAAGCCATTATATTCATAAACTCTTTTGTTTTTATTTGAGGTTTCATCAATGGCGAACCAAGCAGCTGTTGCAGCATCATTACTTTTAGTCTTGGCTGTCTTCTCCAACTTTGAGCTCTCGGCTTCTTCGCTTGTTCGTGGCAAGGTCTCTTGCCTCGACTGCCACCGTGATTTCGACTTCTCAGGTAAACTCTTTTCACTAGCTGAGCTCCTGGCTTTTACTTCATCCCATTTTAATTTCAAAATTTTTCTACTAATCACATTTTTGTATATGTAACTTCTACTTTAAAAACGGTTATAATATATGAGAATTGATATTTTCTTGCCATCTTCTTTTATTCAGCAAGCATTATCTGTACATCTTCTTTATATTATAGAGAGAGACGTGCAAATAGTTTGTGTTGTATTGTAAGCAAACTCTTTTTTTTCAGGCATTAAGATTCTCCTGAAGTGTGACGGAGAGAAGAAACCTGTGACCTCCATGGCGGCTTCAGATGGATCTTTTCGGTCATTGATTCCAACCGCCAACGAAAAAGACTCCATGAAGTGTCTAGCAAAGCTATTGGGAGGTCCAGAGCAACTCTATGCTCACAAACAAAACTTGGTCTCTGAACTGATCAAGTCCAAACACGAGTCCAAAGTCTTAACTACATCAAAACAACTTACGTTCTCTCTCTCATGTCCTAAACCAACCGAAGATAGCGTCGGAGATAAGATCGGAGATTCGAAGACTGTAGATTTTCCGGGGACAGGAGGTTTTGGATTCCCACCTGCTAGCTTCTTCCCTTTCTTACCAATCATTGGCATTCCATGATTTACTTAAATGTTGCTTTGATAAGACTTGCAGATATATTTATTCATATGATTTATTGTTTACGTGAGAATCTAAGACGAATTAAAGAGAACCAAAAGAAATGCTAGAGACATAACTGGAACTACTTCAACAGAGAAAACAACCAGTAAGAGTAATAGAAATAACAAAGGAAAAAAAAAACTGTCTTTCAACAAAATCTTGATTATTCTACCAAGTAAAGATTCTGAAATTAATCCAAGAAGAAGGTTCATGACACAAAAGAAAATCAAATTTCCACTCAGTCTAATGATATCTTAAGAGAAACTTTGAGATAGAAAAATCTTAGAAAACCCTGGTGGGTGGACTCATTGTGCTCTTCAAGTACAAGCACCTCACCTGCAGATAAATTTCAAGCAACAACTCAAAGAGTTAGAGACTGACAAAACATGTATGAGGATGATCTGAGGAAAGACTTTTTACTAACATTTTGCCAGTTTTTCTTCAAGAGGGAAACAAGGAAGTTAACGCTCATCTGAACATTCTGGAAGACCTGCTTCTCTTCCATGCCAAGGTTTCCAACAGCGACACCCATGCAAAGAACCTTCTTGAGTTGGAACTTCACTGTTGCCTTTGTCTCATTCACTTTGGCTTCCAAAGACTCTTGGTGGCTCACAAGAGTTGGGAACTTACCTGCCTTGTTGAGACCAGGACCAAGGAGACGTGGGATCTGCTTGATGACTGATTCAGAAGCAAGGAAAGCATGGAACTTCTTAGCTAGCTTCTTAACAAGCTTCTTGTTCTTGTTCAGCTTCTTAAGAGCTTCCACATCCATAGACTCTAACCCAATCTTCTCAGCCTATGTAAAAAAAACAAAACCGCTAAACCTCTTGTCCTTTTGAAGAACATGTATTCTAATCAAAAGACTTACCCAAAACCCAAGTTGAGGAAACTGTATTCTGAATGGTAAAAGAGAGAGATAAGCTTTACCTCTTCAACGTGCTGGGCGTCACCGAGCATACAAATCTTCATCTTAGGCCTAGGAATGTGAGGCAATTTGACAGAACCGCTAAACCTCTTGTCCTTTTGAGGGTCATAGTTCTTAAGACCAATCTGGAGTTCAATAGTCTCGGTGAACTTGCGAGGCTTAGTCTCTTTGCAGTGAGTGAAAATGGCGGAGATGCCTTCTTTCACGGCTTCACTCTGGAGCTTACTACATAATTCAAAAATTCGAACTTTTCAATACCCAAAACAATAAACCCTAACGTAACGTTCTATTTCCTCATGAAAGTGATCACTTTTACTGTACACACACGTATCAAAAAGAACATAAAGGCCAATACTTTACTGTACTAAAGAATCATTTTCAGCTATGATTATACCAATTAGGCTCACAAGTATCCACCATTGACTAGATTACAGAGACGGATGAATCATTAACAATGTAGATACATCAATCAAATCGAGTTGAGCATTTACAAACCTCATTTTGGCACTTCCTCAGCTAACTATGCTCTCCTGAAAACAAGGTTTTAACAATGGACGTTTAGAATCGTTAAAAGAGAAGATGTGATGCAGTGAAGAAAGAGAACTGAAGATGGAGAAGAAGTATTACCTTGTGAGATGGATCGGAGACAGAGAAGGAACGGCCAATTGAAGTGTTTGTGTAACTTTATATGAACAAGATAAGTGGGAATCAAACCCTAGCCCATCTTACTTCTACCAATTAGAAGCCCGTTATTATATTAGGCCCATACTAATTAGGAAAGTAGAAAAATAACACTCATCAAACCCGTTGGTCACAAAAATGATTCTTGCGAATCCACGCCACCGCTTGATCACTATGTATATAATTTTGAGTATTAAACAGATACTAGATTTTTGATCCGCACTTAAATCGATAAGTTTTTTTCTTTGATGATATAAAATGTCACTATCTAATATAATTTTTTTAAATTAATGCAGATTTTAATTTATTATTATCATCAATATCTCAATAAATGAATTGTATGTAATTATGTAGTTTTATTTTGGGAAAACAATATCAACTAACTATATTTGGTGCTGGGAAGCAGGTCAAACTCGGGTCATCCAACCCGCCTGATCCACAAAGAAAATATATTTTATCTGCATCCGTTCCACTTAATTTTGCAGGTAATCCACGGGACCCACAAATAATTATTTAATAATAAAATTAATTATTTTTTTGCTAAAAGATAATATTAAATAGTATATTTTTAATTAAATTTTTGATACTTTTTTAAAAAAATAATTAATTTTAAGAAAATTTAGTATATTTTTGAAAAATAAACATAAAAAGAAAATTCTCTTTTTGCGGATTACCAGGTACCCGCAATTGAAATTAAAACAATCCACATCCGTCCCGCATAAAATACACTCGCACCTGCACCCGTAACTTAATTTTTTTAAAATTGATCGATCTGTTCCGTGGCGGATCAAACAGAGTGGGACTCGCGGCTAATATCAAAGTTCTAAGTTCTAATTACACTAATTAAGTTGATGAGTTTATTTTTGAAAGAAACTTCAGAAATAATTAGAAAGTGAATTTGACCCATTAATAAAACCCATTACTATATAATTTTTAGACACACAAAAAAAAAACAAATTATCATTAATGAAAAATTAATTTTATTCATAAAAATAAGAATATAATTAGAAAACATAAAAGTTCATTAAACAGAATGTTTTTGTTTTAATAGTATTGATGAATCATAAAACTGAGTATAAATACATCTATACTATTAAAGCTGAAGTACAAAAATAAAGTGTTTGGAAACATGAATAAGAAAATTTTAAAAGTTTGATTGGAAACATGGATATCATACAAATTTAATGGGTTTATTTATTATACTAAAGATTATTGTGGCCCAAGGTACCATTATTATTGTTTTTGAATTTTCTAGCATTTATATTACTTTACTTCTAAAAATTATTTGTACATATATGTATTCATGTTTTAAATGTATTTAGAATAAATCAAGAATAATATATATTTTATTTTTATAATTTATATGGACTATTCTTATAAGTTTTTAACAGTGATATACTAGCCTTCCAATTCTTCATTAAAAATTAAATTAAAAATTTGACTAAATTATTTAGTGTATATAACTTTACACCAAATTTAGTCAAAAAACTTTTTAAAATATTACTAAAATGTTTACGGGTCACAATATTTTAAGACGCCCCTGTTACACAATACAATAATGAAATACAATATTTAAACAATATACTATTACTTAGTAAAATTGGCACCATTAAATTGTAATTTTAAAATGTTATATATACCATAAAAATAAAGACCCGTCCAGTCGGGCGGGTTATGATCTAGTTTACCTAATAGATACGGAACTCACCCGTTCTTATCTGGACTTGAACCAAATGCTCAAATGTCCAAACCTAATGCAAATCTTCGAGAGGTTGCTACACGCATTAAGCTAAGCTTTTTCAATCAAATGTTGATTCAAAGGGAACTAAAGAAACACTTTTCAAAAGGGAAAGAATCAGATAAACTTATACTATTATATTAAATCATAGTTCAGTACACATGCCTTTTCAAGGCAGACAATTCATTACAAATCTCTTTATATACAACTTAAGACATTAATAATACTTGTGGTTGTGGTGGGTATGCGGTCAGGGTCATATACCCAATTCCCTCTTAATTTCATCCAAACATAAAAGAGAGATCATCCATGGGAACCTCATCAAGCCCTGCTGTATTAATATCATGTAGACCTTCAAACCAGTTTCCAATATCTGCCTGCTCATCTATTTCCTCTAGATCATGGAACGCTAGTTTCCAGAAATCTATGGGAGCTTCCTCATCTAGTGCTACTCCTCGGCTTGATGTGCCTCTGCTTGTTGGACCTGTTGGGTGAGTTGTTGTTGTTGATCTCGTTTGATTCTCGTTGTTATTCTTTTCTTTGGGTTTCGGTTTGTTCTTGTTCCTGAAACTGTCTTCTCTCTCGCTTCTTTTTCCTCTAGCTGCACCTCCTGCATTAAGAACCGCGCTATCTGTACTTGTTGTAATTTTGGATGAAGCGCATCCGATAACATCGTCTATCAATGCTTCTCTTCTCTTTGTACTAGACACTGCACCTACATACAAAGACCTAATTAGCTCATAAAGGTTTAACGTGTAGTCACTGTCTGTAACAGTTTCATCAAAGAGACTTGGCCATCATAATCTATCTAATAAATACGTTTATGGAGTTGGTGAAGAGAACAAGGCAGAATGATGCTCTCATATACATGTGTGTGCATGTGACCATAGGTTCATACATGCCATGGTAATATTTAGTTTCTCCAGCTTTTCCTTCTTGTTTCAGATCTATTATTGGTCAAAGATAGAATATCAGAATGGGTACTATGCATCAACCATAATTTCCAATAGGAAACAAAAAAAACTCTTCCTCGCGACACAAATGATATGAAGCGTGAATTATTTGTTTTACGTTTACCTGCTCATAAATGCCTTCCTTCAACTCCATAACATCTGTGCTCATAGTTTCTCGGCCAGATCAGGCTGCAAATGAATAAAAATGAAAATAAGTGAAAGTTTTAGAAGAGATAAGTTTTTTTTCTTTGGCTCAAGTTCTTGACAGATTAACTAACTGACTGGAGACAAAACCTACCATTGCCTCAGGAAACACACCAATGCTTTGTAATTCAAGAAGAAATCGCTCGTCCAAAGACATAAGCTGATACTGGATGTCAGATACTGGAAGTTGGGAATGTTCACTTCCCTAGCTTGCAATTGACCCACGCCATTTGAAAATGTCTCACCGCCTAGTTGCGCATCCGAATGTGCAAGATCATTATCCATCCACTGTTCATTGCTAAGCACAAATATAGACATGCTACTGTTTCTGAAAGGGTTGGACACAACACTCTTCTCACTGGAAAATCTGTCAAACAAACAACTCTTGGGGTTCTGAAAACCTCGTTTGACTCTACTTCAAATTCCATTATGTCTCTCTCTCTGAACTCGGTGTCAATAAAGGTACATGAACCACTGTGAGAATCATCACTAGCGTAATAAAGGGAGAGATTCTTCCCTCCATTTAATTGTACAACTTCTTCTCCGTCGTCTTCCTCAATTAAGGCAGAAAGTACCCTCTTATACAAAGGAGTACTCTCATTCAAGTTTCTCATGTCCAATCTCTCAAACGAAAGATCAGTTATACATGATGCCGCTGGACCTGAATAGTCAACAATTCCCTCACTAATGCGATGTGGTGTTTTTGGCAATTTGATACCCTAAGGAAGCAAATCTTTTTGAGTATCTTTTTCGCAGGGAGTTTTTTCGAGGAAGTCAAGCTAATTTGGATCAGAGAAGCGAAAAGGGAAATAATCGCCTTGATTTTTCGACGTCCATTAACTTATTTTTATTTTATTTACACATTCCGTGTGCTTTTGTAGATGATGTCACTAGCTTTGACTAGTTTGGATATTCCGGTTAACGTTCCGGTTCGATTTGATTTAGGATGTTTGTTCTTTTATATGGTTTCTCAGTTTCTGATTATGGAACTGGAAAATAAATTTCTTAGATTACGGTCAGTTTACTTTATTTTTTTGTTGAACCTGGTTAGAGCATCATGTTTTAATGTACATGAAAACAGTTGCATTAAATTTTGAAACAACTTTTGTATTAATGGTTTAACAAAAACACACTCACAAATTTGGTAGAACCTAAGCTAGGGTCCTCATTTTATTTTCTTCTGTTTAATAATTTCTAAAATTTAATCTTTAGATATTTACTTATAATGTTTCAAGATTAAATATCAAAAATTCTTGATCCGAAAAAAAATATATTAGAAATTTTAAAAAATTCACTTAGAAAGTTGTCCAAAAAAAGTCGTTTAATGATGCCGATGCTCTTAGGTTATTTCAATTTGTTGATTTAGTTTTAGCTTCACGTATGTGATGCTTTGTTGGTATTACTTGGTAAAATCCGGTTACCCAAACGACAGTCAACCATAAGGTCCATAATATAACCTTGTTTTAAAATCGGTTAAACCCATATATACGTTAAGATTTTTAGCTTATTACTTTATACGACGTTTAAGTGGTTCTCATTTGTCACAAACTTACAACAATACCATTTTCTCTTAGTCATTAAATGAGTTCCTTTTACTAAGTTTAAAAATGAGACCTTCAACATTTGTGTACGTCGAATGTTAAGCTATCATGCACTGATATATAATCATCACTCGACAAGAAGCGCCTTAATAATCTCTTCACATTTATTCTCCTCGGCACTTAGAAGATGTCCATAACCTTGGACTTCGTGGTACTTAATCCATGGAAGCTTCTTTGATATATATTCGTTAATTTCGCGTGGAACAAATCTATCTTCGGTACCTTGCCACATGTGGACTGATCCTCCACCTTCAGTAAACGGGTTTTCCAGTTCAGTCGGGTCGAACTCCCATGTCGCAAATCCAGCGATTATGTCTCGGTGAAGACATTCATGGTCTCCTTGTTGCCGAACTTTTTCCTGGGGTCCAAATAAATCATTAAAATACTATACAGGGTCAGACTGTAATACTTAAAAAAATGAAAACAATGCAAAGGAAACCGATGGACCAAAGACCTTATTTCCAATTTCGCCCATCTATACTATTAAAGTTGAAGTACAAAAAATTAGTGTTTGGAAACATGAATAGGTATTTAAAATTATAATGATTGGAAACAAGGATAGTCTACAAATCTAATGGGCTTATTTATTAAACTAAAGATTACTGCGGCCCAAAGTATCATGATTATTGTTTTTGGGTTTCTATCATTGATATTACTTTATTTCTGGAAATTATATATATATACATATATATATATATGTATTCATGTTTTAAATGTATTTAAAATAAATCAAGAATAATATATATTTTATCTATATAATTTATATTGACTATTGTTATAAATTTTTAACAGTGATATACTAGCCCTTCAATTCTTCATGAAAAAATTAACTTAAAATTTTGAATAAATTGTTTAATGTATATAACTTTGCACCAAATTTAGCAAAAAAAAAATTTTATAAACTATTAATAAAATTTTTACGGATCATAATATTTTACGATGCCCCTATTACACAATACAGAATGAAATACAATGTTTAAATAATGTACTATTACTTAGTCAAATTGGAACCATTAGATTGTAATTTTTGAAATGTTTATATATACCATAAAAACAAATACCCGTCCAATCGGGCGGGTTATTATCTAGTTGACTTTAAAGAAGAATTACTTTGATCCATATGTTTCAACTTTCAAGAGAGATCAAGCCTCTTGTATCAACGTCTTCAACGTGTTCAATTACCCTATGAGCTTTTTCCAAATTTATAGTTTGATCCATATTATTAGTTGAAAAGGTCACATGCAACCCTTTTTCAATTAGATTTTCATTAAATTTCAAAACATTTTTTTAGGTACTTACCATGTGAGGACTAGGATTCTCCAACATCTTCTTTATGATGACCAAGTCTGTGTCGCTGAATAACGCACTGTTCCCAGAGATTATACTCGAAGACGGAAACCATTTTTGAGTCAACCACCAATACAAGAGCCAAGGAACATAATGTGCCACTCTAAACGTCCACCGGATATCTTCGGGTAATAGCTTGAACGCTTTACTCAGTATGTCCTGAGGCACTTTAGTCCACCAATAGCTGACAAATGGAACCACTAAAACTGCACCAGCTAATCTGTGAAGTATGAATCACCAATATGAGATATATAGAAAAGTGTAAAAGTTTATAGAATATAATACTTTCGAATTTCTACCTGTGGGGAATGTATTTGAGGCAGCTATAAACCGAGTACGCACCGACTGATAACCCTATAACGTAGAACTTTGGTCCTATCTTGAGTTTATCAGCGAGTTCTTGAATGTCATATGCTTCGCTTTTGACTGTGCGTGAAGGGTGTGGATCACTTTCTCCATATCCTGCTCTATCGAAAAACAAAAAGTATATCCCTAGTTCCTCAATAAGATCCTGCCAACAACACCAACTTATTAAAACCCAATTGTTCATTGCAATCATTTTTTTTTCAAAAGTAAACTTTGAATTATACATGTAAAATGTGAAAATCACTATCTAGGTGAATATGAGTTCATAACATGTATAGGCAAAACTAAAATGTAAATAAAATTGTGAAAATGGCATGTGTGGTGTGACATGTGTTAGAATAGAGAAAAGAACAGAGCATACCTTAGAGATGGGAAATTCCATGTCTTTGGAGTTGTTAAATCCATGAACAACGATGATCTTGTAGTTAGCATTGGCTCTATCAACGCCAGATTCTCTATAAGCAAGATATCTTCCATCACTGAGCTTGACTCTCGGAGAAGTAATAGGAGGACCGTTAGGAACGCCGCAGACTCGCGGCGGTGGAGGCTTCAGTGATCGGTAAATGTAGCCTACAAGGCAGACAAGGATCGCAACGACCACTGAAAGCATCATTGTTTCATGTATACACCTGAAACAAAAGATTCTGAATCAGACATTCTTGAACATTGACTGAACTTAAGAGTAATGAACTAGATGTCTGAGGAGAAAGAGAGAAACCTTGAGGGAATGATGCCTTTGGTTTTTGAGATTAGGTTAAACCATAGATCTCATATTTAGCTCCACTGGGAGTATTTAGACAGTCCTGACGATTCCTCTCTTATTTTTTATTTTTTTTTCTGAAATTACGAGTTTATCAGGAAAAGAGTAAAATAAATGGGTGAGAATGGAGAGAGACACAATCACCGTCAGATAGGAACCCACTTGTTGACGTAGCAGACAGTAGGAGACATGGTAGTCGAGCACGCATTATTGTGACGTTGACGTGCGTTAATTGCTGTCCCATAATGGATCCCAATGTATCTTGTTTTTTCATATATTTATTTCTCGTGAAATCTTATGGAATTGAATACATTTTACAAATGTAAACAAAATTACCCAAAACTAAATGCTATGCATAGAAACCTAACAAAATAACTTCTAACAGTAAGATATTATCTACTAAAACGTTTCAAGCTACAAAATTTTCCACTACCCAACCTTATGGAAGTGTGTCTATGAAAATCAAATATTATCTACATCCAGTCTTTTGTTTTTGTCAACGTATATCCATATTCTTCTTTTATAGTATGTTTTTGCTTAGGATTTCAGTTTGAATTTCCGTCCTAGGTTCGAATATTATTAGTCACAATTTTAGTGACAAGAAAATCTAAATTTCTATGGATTTAATAGAATTAGTTTTTGGGCATATAAAACTTTTTGGGATCTTTACAGTTATCAAAAAAAAAAATTATGTTCTTGCTTTATATATTTTGTATTTTCTAATTCTTTTGTATTAAAAGTAAGAAAATTTTGAGTAGCTACATGAATAATCGGGTTGATACTATTTTGAAAAAGAGCCAGTCCAGAGTCCAGACGAAGGCCCAGAATAAAATCCATTGCCAAGAACATTGACTTCTTCACATAAAAGAGATACTGGTTTGGTTCAAGAAAGGCTGCAGTTTTCCTTTTCGAAATAAGTTTCCGTCAAGATTCGGACTGCACCAACGTTACTCGATCAGAAACTAGAACCAGCTTAAGAAATTGAGAAGAAATTAAAACTCAATTAAACCCCCAAAACGAATTAACCGAAGTGGCTACATAACGACTATAAAAACAACTGACACGGTATACTTATAAGACGATCTATTGTAACATAAATAGACATGTCGTCTATGTTTTAGAGGTGTGGTAAACAGAGAGATGCAGCTTTACACTTGCGATCATAGCTTTGGTGATCAGAAAGAGTTTTACAAAGCTTGAAAGAAATTTGTACGTTCTATTAATCTTAGGAATTCTTGTAGGAAACTTTAAAGAAAGTAATATAGTTGAAATAATTTTTGAAAAAAAAGTCTTGTGTTATAGAATAATTACATATCTCTTTTGTTCTTACAATTTCAAATGTGACATCTAAGTTTCGGTTCCCCGGTCCTATGACCACTCTGTTTTTTTTTCTTCATCCCAATCTTATTTCATGATGATGAGTGATGGCCTCAAACAAGAAATCAAACAAGAAATCTTTAAGAGCACTATTAACCATGACTCTTAGCCATGTTTTATTTTGAAAAAAGTTAATTTTGAAATGTACGGGTTCTACCGTTATCTTAAGAACCACTTCTTATATATTTTGTGTAAGAGTCAATTTTTACAAGGTTCTTAGACTATTCGCGGACTCTATCAAATATGGTGGGCTCTGATTGATTTTTTATTTTTTTATTTTTTAAAGACAAAAATTAAAAAAATATATATAAGAAATTTAGCTAAGACCTAAGGGTTAATGATGCTTTAAATACATGTTAAAATACATATGTTTCTAGACGCTTTGCTACAATGCATGAACTTTCATCCTAACGCCTGCGGAACCCATAATTGACATCCAGTTAATTATTCTTGGTTTAACACAAACTATTCTACTAATAATCAACGATTGACGATTACGGTCCAAAAGGGGTACAAGGAATTCAAAAAGACACGTTTTATCTGAAAATTAAATGTTTTATTATTTTATTATTTTATTTTTTTGACGGAAAGTCCACAAACAACTAAACTAATGAGATCAATCTAATGGTTTATTATTCCGTCAAGCAGATGCTTTTCCTACTTTTCTCTGCATACATACATGCATACGTATTAAAGAAACCACCAACCAGCTTATAAATACAATTAACCTACAGAAAACGTGAAGAAGATCCTTTCTCCCTTAAAACTTTCTTCTCTTCATTTGCCTCAAAAACCTAAAGAGTACTTTAGTTTTAATTACCAAAACGTTTAAACTAACCTTCAAGAAGTTAAAAACATGTCCGATCACCAGAAAATTCATCCGGTGAGCGACCCGGAGTCTCTACTTCCAGCGCATCCAACGGCTCCTCTAGTCCCACGTGCCTCCTCAAGATCGGAACATGGTGACCCGACCAAAGAATCTGTGACGCAACCACCACCTTTGGATACTGCTCCGAGCGAGAAGAGAGGAAGAAGAAGAAGCTGTTGCTGCAGGTGTGTGTGTTACACGCTCCTTGTTCTTTTTCTCCTTATTGTAATCGTAGGAGCAGTCGTTGGTATACTCTACCTTGTCTTTAGACCGAAATTACCGGATTATAATATCGACCGGTTACAGCTCACCCAGTTTACACTTAACCAAGATTCCAGTTTGTCCACTGCCTTTAACGTAACCATTACCGCCAAGAATCCCAACGAGAAAATTGGAATCTACTATGAAGATGGAAGCAAAATTAGCGTCTTGTACATGCAAACCAGACTTAGTAATGGTACGTCACAGATTTTTGTAAACTTTGTTTTTTTTTTTTATTTGTTTGATTTAGATTAGTTTTAAGAAAACCAAAACCAGATACTATATTACGCATCTAAATATACATGTGGCGGCACTAACCAGGTTTTATAATATTTATTTTCAGGGTCGTTGCCGAAATTCTACCAAGGACATGAGAATACGACTAATATATTCATAGAAATGACTGGTTATACTCAGAATGCAACCACTTTGATGGCGACAATGCAAGAGCAACAACAGTTAACCGGAAGTATACCGTTACGGCTTAGAGTTACACAACCGGTTCGTATTAAACTCGGGAAATTAAAGCTGATGGAAGTAAAGTTCTTGGTGAGGTGTGGTGTATCCGTTGATAGCTTAGCTGCTAACAACGTGATTAGGGTTAGAAGTAGTAACTGTAAGTTCAGGTTTAGACTATAATTTCATTTTTTTCCAAGTTCAAAATTATTGGTTATTATTATTTTTATTCAGAATCTGCATTACAATAATATGTGGAGGGGTTTAGTTTCGTGGTACCTCCCCTCAGCCGGCTCCAACGTCTTATAGACCGAGGCAAGATTGAAAAACAGACTTTTGTTATATAACAGTGCAATATGCGATTTTTTTTTCTTTCAATATGCGACATTGTTCCTATAAATCACGATATATTGATCAAAATCATTTCTCCAAAAAAACACTAAAATAGTATTTTTCCTTCCAAGAAAAAGACATAAATATAAAAGTGAAGGCTCTTTCTCTCTTCTTGCAGTCATTTGTTTCTACACACACCTTCATAAGATAGGAGATTCTCTCGAATCTGAATAAATCAGTAGTCATCCCAAAAAAATTAAAAGTCGGAACTTAGAGAAACTGATTTTTTAAGCCGATTTTCAAAAGCTGAAAACTGTAACTAGTCCTGAATCAAAACATGTTGAAACATTCGTATTAGATTTCCAAATTTTTTGAAAAGGATAATATATAGAAAAATCCCAACAAAAATTATATAGGTTCTTAAATTGATAAGAGAAAGACTCTAATTAAAATCTTTAAAAATTCGCCTATAATTCCCAAAATCTCAGGGCTTATCCTAACTAAAAATGCACATACAAAGAATATTGGAAGAGTTGAGTAATTAGACGTCTAAGCTATAATGTTAGCCATTTCAAAATTTATATAATTTAGTTATAATTCTGGTAAAGGCTTGGTATAATAAGCATAAAAGTGAGATTTGGCTTCCATAATTGTATCTATATGTTTAGAAAACTAGAATTGTTATTTAGAAAATTTCCAGATTTGTGTTTTTACAACAATATATTTACCATTTTCTGATTTATTATTTTAATTTAGAAAATAGTTATGAATTATGGGCCATGGGGCAGGTGTACTACTTGTCCTTGTAAGCCGGCCCTGTTAATACATAAAAAGATCGAAGATGGCAACATGCAGAGATTTAAAGAGATAAAAACAAAGAAACAACTCGAGACCAAAACCACCTGTCCACAGAAAGACACCCATTTCGACACGTGTCGAACCCCTACATGCTCCCGAACACTTGTTTATCCTCGGAGAAGACAGAGCAGCATTCTCAGTTTCACACTCCACCGTTAAAGACAGAGAACCTCTCGTCTTCTATATTATCTTTTTGCATCTCAACCCCCTAAAAAGAGATCTCTGTAAACACTCGAAACCACTTTAAAAACCAGTGGCGATGAAGGTACACGAGACAAGATCTCACGCTCACATGTCTGGCGACGAGCAGAAGGTTTCTACATCAACTGTCTTATAGTTCGTATTATAACGTGTATAGTTGTATATAATATGCTCCACTGTTTTCTTCAGAAGGGAAACTTGAGAAAGCACAAAGCAGAAGGGAAGCTTCCAGAAGCTGAACACTCACCAAAGAAGGCAAAGTCAGAAAACGAATCAGTCAACGGCTCCGGAGATGCTGCGTCGGAGTATAAGGAGTTTTGCAAAGCGGTTGAGGAGAATCTATCCGTTGATCAGATTAAAGAAGTTCTTGAAACCAACGGTCAGGATTGTTCTGCTCCGGAAGAGACCTTGCTAACTCAATGGTCAGTCTCATAAATGGTTTGAAACAACTTCTTTTTTTTTTCTTGTAAAGTTTTCATGTCTGATATCAAGATATGTTGTTCTTGAGCAGCCAAGATTTGCTGTTTTATGGGGCTTTAGCTGAATGTCCTTTATGCGGAGGTAATCTGATATGCGACAATGAGAAGAGATTCGTATGTGGAGGTGAGATTAGTGAGTGGTGTAGTTGCGTGTTCAGCACGAAAAGTCCTCCTAGGAAACAGGAGCCAATTAAATTGCCTGATTCTGTCTTGAACTCTTCTGTATCTGATGTAAGCTCAATCCACAAAGACTCTGTCCACAAAACTTTTTTTTCCCAGTTGTGATATCTGTTGCCTTTTGGTGTAGTTAATCAAGAAACATCAGGACCCGAAAACTAGACCTAAAAGAGAGTTAAGCTCTGATAAACCATTAGCAGGAATGATGATCTCTCTCATGGGACGTCTCACGAGAACACATGTAACGTAGCTTGTCTCTGTTTAGGTTCTTTGTTACTCTGATTCCGTGTCTTACACGTCAAACATTTGTTTATCTCTGTTATTTGCAGCAATATTGGAAAAATAAGATAGAGAAACACGGTGGGAAAGTTTCCAACTCTGTTCAAGGGGTGACGTGTCTGGTGGTTTCACCGGCTGAAAGAGAACGTGGTGGTTCTTCCAAACTGGTGGATGCAATGTAAGGGCTCAGGAGTTTGTGTGGAAATTTATTTAGTTCTGTTTTTATTTTTTCAAGTCTTTGACATTGTGTTTTACTTCTGCCTGAAGGGAACAAGGTCTGCCGGTTGTGAGTGAAGCGTGGCTGATAGATAGCTTGGAGAAGCAAGAAGCTCAGCCACTGGAAGCTTATGATGTGGTCAGTGATCTCTCAGTGGAAGGGAAAGGAATCCCATGGGACAAGCAAGATCCAAGTGAGGAAGCACTAGAATCCTTATCAGCTGAGGTACTCATTAGCCCATCTAGTTGATATTAGCTACAAATGAAATATGGTTTGGAGAATCTGATTAGTGTTTGTTGTTTTCAGCTGAAAATGTTTGGGAAGAGAGGTGTATACAAGGATACAAAGCTTGAGGAGAGTGGTGGAAAGATCTTCGAAAAGGATGGACTCTTGTACAACTGTGCATTCTCGTTATGTGACCTAGGGAAAGGGCGTAATGAGTATTGTATCATGCAGCTAGTCACTGTACCTGAAAGCAACCTCAACATGTACTTCAAGAGAGGAAAAGTAGGAGATGACCCTAATGCGGAAGAGCGGCTTGAGGAGTGGGAAGATGAAGAAGATGCGATCAAAGAGTTTGCTAGGCTTTTTGAGGAGATAACAGGGAATGAGTTCGAGCCATGGGAACGTGAAAAGAAAATTCAGAAGAAACCTCATAAGTTTTTTCCCATTGATATGGTTTGACTATTATACCTTGCACCTCAAGGTTACCTCTTTGGTAATGTATTAAGGTAAATATTTAGTAATTTTTTTGGTTTCTGCAGGATGATGGAATCGATGTGAGAAGTGGAGCACTAGGACTAAGGCAGCTCGGTGTTGCTTCAGCTCATTGCAAGCTTGATTCGTTTGTTGCCAACTTTGTTAAAGTTCTGTGTGGTCAAGAGATCTACAAGTACTGTTCTTAGATTATTTTTCATTTCTAACCAAATACTTGTGAATGTTCTGATCTTGAGATATTTATTGGCAGGTATGCATTGATGGAGCTTGGTTTGGATCCACCTGATTTGCCTATGGGGATGCTAACTGATATCCACTTGAAACGATGTATGGCTTGGTGGAACAAAATCTTTTTATATAGTTCTTGTTGTCATGTTTTGAGTTGTGTGTGTGTGTGGCCCTCTTTTCCTCAGGCGAGGAGGTATTGCTGGAGTTTGTTGAGAAGCTCAAGACGACAAAGGAGACGGGTCAGAAAGCTGAAGCAATGTGGGCAGATTTTAGCTCACGGTGGTTCTCTTTGATGCACAGCACAAGACCAATGAGATTGCATGACTTTAATGAACTAGCAGACCATGTAAGTAAAACTTAAACTAATATTCATGTGTTGTACGTCAGTAAAATGGAATTTTACAGTATTGGATCCATGTGGTTTTGCAGGCGGCTTCTGCTTTTGAGACAGTGAGGGACATAAACACAGCCTCACGTTTGGTTGGTGACATGCGAGGAGATACACTTGATGACCCTTTGTCTGATCGCTACACAAAACTCGGCTGCAAAATCTCTGTGGTTGACAAAGAGTCCGAAGATTATAAGATGATTGTGAAGTACCTGGAGACTACTTATGAACCAGTGAAAGTCTCTGACGTTGTAAGCTCCTGTATCTCAAAGACTTGCTAAAACTAACGTTGCAGATAATTTAACCTACAATGATGTTTTGTGGTGTTTTTTTCAGGAGTATAGTGCAACAGTGGTGAATGTTTTTGCAGTTGAATCTAAAGCCATTCCGTCGTTAGATGACATCAAAAAGCTACCAAACAAGGTCCTCTTATGGTGTGGTTCTAGGAGCTCAAATCTATTGCGACACATCTACAAAGGTTTTTTACCAGCGGTTTGCTCACTTCCTGTCGCTGGTTACATGGTAATTAAAAGAAGCTCTTCTTTGGCCTTTTCTTCCATATGTTTTGATCTCCATAGACTTACTGTATAGTACTCTTGTTTGTAGTTTGGGAAGGCGATAGTATGCTCAGATGCAGCGGCAGAAGCAGCAAGGTACGGTTTCACAGCTGTGGATAGACCAGAAGGGTTTCTTGTGTTGGCAGTTGCATCACTTGGGGAAGAAGTTAAGGAGTTCACAAGCCCACCAGAGGACACAAAGTCATTGGAAGAAAAGAAGGTTGGAGTGAAAGGGTTAGGAAGGAAGAAGACTGACGAATCAGAGCATTTCATGTGGAGAGATGACATCAAAGTTCCTTGTGGAAAACTAGTTCCATCGGAACATAAGGATAGTCCTCTTGAGTACAACGAGTATGCCGTGTATGATCCGAAACGGGTAAAAGATGGCAAAAACTAAATTTGTTTTGTACTTTACTACATTAACTATGTTGTGGCTTACTGTTTTTTTCTTGTCAGACGAGTATAAGATTCTTGGTGGAAGTGAAGTACGAGGAGAAGGGAACCGAGATAATTGATGTGGAGCCAGAGTAGATTCAGATAGAGATGCTGTGGTGGGGATCGAGATGGTTTTTGGTGTTTCATGTGTTTTGCATATTACGTTTGTTAAAATGGTGAATGTAGTAGTAGTTTCTTTTTTTGGGCTGTAAGGAAAATGTTGACCTCTATGCAACTGCTATGCTGTGTGAAGCTTTTTGTCATGTATATAGATTTACACAGTTACTAAATACTTCACTGTTGACTCAAGACTTTAAGTTATAATATGGATGAGCTCAAGTCAAGAGCTGTTTTGTCCATCTCGACTAAAACAAGCACGCTGTGTATAATATACAAAAATTATGTAACAGTGCCTTAAGATTAATGTCTATACTGGCATGTTCAAAACCATTGATTCTCTTTGGCTTATAAGGTCAAATATCGATCAGTGTGTTTGTGTTTTTCTTTTTGGTTGTCATAATAA